CTCCTCCCCCCGTGGCATTTTTTTCTGCCCGCCATTTCTTGCCCTCCTTTCCTCGCTCTGTTTACCCGTATTCTTTCCATATCTCTCTCTCTCTTCCTCAATCTTGTCTCCCTCATTCCCGAGATCACAGCTGGGGATCGCTACGGTTAAGCTCGTACGCGTCGGTCATTTGGAGGATGTGTACCCCGGTTCTTTGTGCCTCTGTACGGTTCCGAACCAAAATACGTCGATGTATTTCTCCCATGGGCCGACAGCTGATTTATGGACACGGGTGTCGATAGCGATTTGTTGACAGCACGTGAGTAACTTGACTTTAGAAACCAGCAAAGGACACGTGATACATTCTGGTATTTACATTACAAAACAAAGAGGGCTGCTTAAATTCGAGCACGGCATGAGGATCTGTGCAGAGCAGGGAGGTTCCAGATGGTATCGCCTGTCTGCAAGGCATGTTCCCTAGCAGGGCCATATCACTCCGTGCAATTACTTTGCCAGCAACCCTATCGCGTCGATAGAGTTACACCCAGGACAGGTCTAAGCAGCAAGGATGCCGAGACACCTGCGGCCAGAGTCCGTGTTCCCATCTTATCTACACAACAAACCTGTCAGGTGGCACATCGTGCCCATGTTGGACAACGCGTAATCAAGGTGCACAATCACATTTAACAATAAAAACGTCGGTTACAAATGCAACGCCGATCATGGTGAACACAATCCCAATATTTCTTTGTTCTGTACATAGATATATAGTGTTATATATTTAATTATGCAGACAACATTTATACTACCAATGCTTCACGACATTAGTGACATCACTTATACCCTTGCCTTCGCTCTTGATACAGTTCAACAATTGGTTAATCATGATTATTATTTCTCTTGAAACATTTGTACCGACTGTATGGATCACAATGGGTACGAGATCAATGGTTTGCGGAGTTGTATTTTATACTTCTTAAATGGTTCTCTTTTCATGAATCCCAACTTTCTCGAAAATATGCAACAGATCCGCTCGTTGATTAATCAAATCATTTTACTCGTGGCTTGATCATTGCAAGAGTTGTTTGACCGGGGCTGCAGATTTCCACTTAAAACATCAGCGTCTCCAAGATGCAGCTGTTAGTCCGACTCAGGGTGCTACTCATAGCATGCAAATATGACCATGCAACTCCTCTACTGGATCGAATGTCATTCTCTTTACTGGTAGGAACCTGCTGGTTACACCAGCCCACAGAGGATTATTGTGTCCGTCCGTCGTGCATCCAAAAATGGGAGGGGTGGGGCTGGGTGGAGAGGGGAGGGTGGGGAGGGTGGGGCTGGGTGGGGCGGGGCTGGTCACCCCGTGGTGCCCTTATAAAACTCAACGTGTAACCTACTCACGACGGCTTGTGCCCGCCCTCACAGTCGGCCATATTTTCGGAATACACCACGCCGCCGTTGACCCTGGACATTGACCGAGCAACCCGACGTTCCTACCAGCTCCCTCCGCAGGAATGTGTTCTTAAAACACTGTGCCTCGTCTTGTCCCAAGCTAAACGCCCTCTGCTCTTCACCCATTTGTCCAACAGCAGACTGCATTCAGGAGCTGCTGTGAGCGAGCACCTATGAAGGAAGGCACGGCACATTATGGGGTGGGTGGCCAGCACCCCGCTCGGCCGCCTTTGTCTCCCCAGTGTTGATGTTTACACACCGCACCAGGTACTAGTTTTAGGCCGAGTCGACCGAGGGGAGGCCCAGGAGTGGTTCAGATGATCATCGTCACTGGTGTTGGCCGTGAGCGGGAATACAACTCGGGTCGCTGGTTTCGTAGCGCAGTGAGATAATCGCTGCCAACTACTGCCAGCACGGTGCCCAGAGGGATGACGGTCACCGGGCAAATCACGACCGACGCTCTTCAAACTAAACCGGAAGTATTACATCTGACACCGTAACGTCGAAGCGCCCCAAACAAAGCAAGGGGCCCGGGGCGGTCTCCCTAGGGACGGCTCTGACTAGCGCACCCCACAGACACACGGAGAGACGACAGCCGCCGTTGCCTTGATGTCAGCACGGCGCGAGGGCTGTGCGCACCCTGAAGGCACATCCACAAATGCACACATACAGACACGTACACACAGACACGTACACACAACAGGCACACACAGACACGTACACACACACGTACACACAGAGGGACAGACATCCACAAATGCACATACACAGACACGCACACACAGACACAAACACGTACACACAGACACGTACACATAGAGGGACACACATCCACAAATGCACACACACAGACACGTACACACAGACACGTACACACAGACACGTACACACAAGAAGGACACACAGACACGTACACACAGAGGGACACACATCTACAAATGCACACACACAGACACAAACACGTACACACAGAGGGACACACATCCACAAATGCACACACACAGACACGTACACACAGACACAAACACGTACACACAGAGATGTACGCACAGACACGTGCAGAGGGACACACACACACAGACACGTGCAGAGGGACACACACACACAGACACGTGCAGAGGGACACACACACACAGACACGTGCAGAGGGACACACACACACAGACACGTGCAGAGGGACACACACACACAGACGCGTGCAGAGGGACGCACACACACACAGACACGTGCAGAGGGACACACACACACAGACACGTGCAGAGGGACACACACACAGACACGTGCAGAGGGACACACACACAGACACGTGCAGAGGGACACACACAGACACGTGCAGAGGGACACACACACAGACACGTGCAGAGGGACACACACACACAGACACGTGCAGAGGGACACACAGACACGTGCAGAGGGACACACACACACAGACACGTGCAGAGGGACACACAGACACGTGCAGAGGGACACACACACAGACACGTGCAGATGGACACACACACAGACACGTGCAGAGGGACACACACACAGACACGTGCAGAGGGACACACACAGACACGTGCAGAGGGACACACACACACAGACACGTACAGAGGGGGACACACACACACAGACACGTGCAGAGGGACACACACAGACAGACACGTGCAGAGGGACACACACACAGACACGTGCAGAGGGACAAACACACACACAGACACGTGCAGAGGGACACACACAGACACGTGCAGAGGGACACACAGACACGTGCAGAGGGACACACAGACACGTGCAGAGGGACACACACACAGACACGTGCAGAGGGACACACACACAGACACGTGCAGAGGGACACACACACAGACACGTGCAGAGGGACACACACACAGACACGTGCAGAGGGACACACACACAGACACGTACAGAGGGACACACACACACAGACACGGTGCAGAGGGACACACGCAGACAGACACGTGCAGAGGGACACACACACACAGACACGTGCAGAGGGACAAACACACAAACAGACACGTGCAGAGGGACACACACAGACACGTGCAGAGGGACACACACACGTGCAGAGGAACACACACACACAGACACGTGCAGAGGGACACACACACACAGACACGTGCAGAGGGACACACACACGTGCAGAGGGACACACACACAAAGACACGTGCAGAGGGACACACACACAGACACGTGCAGAGGGACACACACACACAGACACGTGCAGAGGGACACACACACACAGACACGTGCAGAGGGACACACACACACACACAGACACGTGCAGAGGGACACACACACACACACACCACACGCCACTGAGAGGTGCACGCGCACCTGGAGAGTGAGGTGAGTCCAGCGGCCCGGGGGGAACCTGTCCGTGGCGTTGATGACGAGGGGACCCTGCGGACCTTCCGCCGTGCGGTAGTGAAACCTGACCTCGTCGGGCGCCACCTCCAACCTGAACACAGTCCGCCCCTCCGTGGCCTTCTCGATGATGGTCCTGGCCACACCGACCGTTCCACAAACAACATCGTTTCGTATTCTTGGTTCTTTCGGTAAAGTCACGTAGGAGGAAAATAATAAAATAATAAAAAATACGTGACTTTACCGAAAGAACCAAGATTATGAATCCCTGCAGTCACCAAAGCTTTAAATCGAAACATCGTTTCGTTTCAACGGGCAAGGCGATGTAGCGTGTGCTGCTGCGTGCTCTGCACACAACTTCAGTGCCGTAATAAGCTCGTGCGGGGCCTGTAGCATATGTTATGAAGGGGCTCTAAATAAATAAATAAATCACTTCAATATTAAAACACGTACATTTTTTACTTGCATAGTAAAGTTATTGTATTTCATTTGCTATACGGCCAGATAATACGACAAATCGATAACCGTAAACACCCAGTCGTTCATAAAAGTTGAAGGTGGTACAGTACTATAGTAATAGAGCAAGTGCAGAATCACTGAACCGGAATTGATAGCTTGAAAGCGTTTAGCACGGGGCCCTTGAAAGTGCGGGGTTTGTAGCATCTGTAGCTACTACACGTGTAGCTACTACACGTGTTGTAGCTACTACACATGCAGCTACTACACGTGCAGCTACTGCACGTGCAGCTACTGCACGTGCAGCTACTACACATGCAGCTACTGTTGCTACATGTGTAGTAGCTACTGTTGCTACTGGGATAATTCGGCGGTGAGCGTGTGTCCGCGTGTGCTCAGAGCGCTATCGCGTAGGCCTCGCCTGCAAGGGCCGTGCAAGGCGACCACCACCCAACAGTGAACTCGACGCAACCGCATCGTGCACGACAGCTCGTTACCTTGACAAGATATCCGTGTACGACTGAAGTGGTTGGTGGTGATGGTGGTGGCGGTGGTGGCGCACAGGCCACGAGATTCACTCTGACGCTGTAATGAGCATTCGCGAATCGCGAACGAGCGCAGCCACCTGTTGCTGCTGCGCGCAGCCGAGCCGCCGACAAGTTCAAAGCGACCTCAAAACTTGCGCGGCACGACCTAGTTGTGCCTCACCACCCCACACCCCCCTTACCCGTATGCGCCCACGCAACCGCGGACCCCCTGTTACTCACGCCAGGCCGGTTCCCTCCTTCCGGAGCCAAACGGCGACGGTGAACGAGGCGGCGGGTCCCAGGGACTCGCTCGGCAGAGTCGCGAGGCAGTCGCCGCCCTCGGCGAACCGCAGCACCGGCTCTCCCGCCCCAGCGCCGGACGGCCCCTGGCCCCCCGGATCGACGGCCGCGCACGCCCCGGGCTCGCTCGCCCACGAGCGCGAGCCCAGCGTGGAGTGCGGCGGCGTTGCGGCGCGGTGCGGGCAGGCGTTGGCGCACAGGGCCGGCCTGCACGCCGAGCCTCCTCCTCCTCCCCCCTCGCCGGGGCCGGGACTGGGGAAGCAAAAGGTGGTCGGGCCCGAGAGGCCGCAGGTCGCGCCCGGGGGCGTGAGCCTCACCGGCCTGAAGGCGGCCACGTTGTCCAGGCGTGGGAAGAGGCCCAGCGCCGCGGCCCGGCTCGCGACGAGCAGCAGCAGCAGCAGCAGAGACGCGACCGCGGCGCGCATTGTGGGCGTCAAGAGAGGCGCTTGAAACGCATCCCCCAGTCGCGACCGCTCGCGGGCGGAGCGGCACGGGGCTGCGATGTCCGCACAGCGACTCTTCAGCTCCACGGGCTGAGCACCGCGTCCAGCAAGCAACAGCAGCAGCAGCAGCAACAGCAGCAACAGCAGCAACAGCAGCAGCAGCAGCAACAGCAACAGCAGCAACAGCAGCAACAGCAGCAGCAGCAGCAAGAGCAGCAACAGCAGCAGCAGAAACAGCGGCAGCAGCGGAAAGAGCAGCAGCGGCAACAGCAACAGCAGCAACAGCAGCGGCAGCAACAGCAGCGGCAGCCGCCGCCCTCTTCAGCACCACGGGCAGCGCTCACGGCTCAGCCCTCGAAACCAACTCGTGCTTGAAACCCCTCGGCGGGGAATGCATGCGCTCGTGTGTGGTGCTAATGCATTTGGCGGTCAACGAGTCTTGCTTCGGCACATAGCATGTCGCTCAATCAGTTGCACACGCGAATGCCGCGTCTTGCATGCACGTCGCTACCGACGGGCGGAAATAATTCTCTGGTAATGTATCGCGCGTAAGCGGCTTTAGGATAGCTTGCAGTCACGGCGCATACACTTCATTAGCAAAGAGGGTCCCCGGCCGAACTTGAGCTCGCGTCGAGACAGCTTTGACGGACAGCGGCGCGTCTTCTTGTGTGTGTCCCCGTGTCCCCGCGTCCTTGTGCTCTCGGCCGGGTTGGCGCGTACAGTGAGGACCGATCGGAACGGGGCCCCGGCCGACCGCTCGCTCCCTCTTCGACGGTCGCCAGGCAACGTCGAGGGTGTCCTCCACACTCCACGAAGCGGCTCGAGTGCTCGGGCCGAGCTCCACGAGACCGCGGGGGTACTCGCGTTAGACGAGAGAGAAACGCCACGAAGCACGGGCGCGTTACACAAACCCCCGGTACCCGCGCACTGTAACGTTGCACATAACTGCATGAATATTGCATGCGACGGCATGAATATTGCATGCAACTACAATGGACCGCACCGCGAAACGCAGCTCACGAATCTCGCCGGGCTCCACCGGTTAAAGAGGACATCTAAGCGTGGTGCAATTTGTTAAAGCATGTAAATGTGACTGAGACGAGTCGCCTCCCCCTCCCCCCCCAAACAGGCCAACGTTGGCTCAACGTTGGCCGAACGTCCCATGGTTACTGGGCTATCGGCAACCTGTAACTAAACCTGGCGCTACGTTTCGTCAAAAGTTCCTCGACGCCGTCGCGGGGCCGGGAGTGGCTCGGCGGAGTGGGGTGTGGGCACCTCGGGTCGAGGCACGGAGCTCGGGGAGGGTGTTGAGCGACCTCGGTTCGAATGTAGGTGAAGGCCCTTTGGTAGCGCGCGACCCAGAGCGCCGGGGAGTACAACAACACAAGGACGTGGCTCTGGAGGTCGCTCTGTCCCCGTGTCTTTGACTCGACCACCCCGTTCTGTGATTGTCTTGCGAATATTTATTATATTAGACGTGAATGACCCGGTTCAACGCGACAGGCATGACTGAAATGTCCATGTAAAACCAAGTTATAAACTAGGGTTGTTAATTTTCTTTTATCCGTTAAGCGATTCTCGTTTTAAGAACCCAGTAAACTTGACTTAAAGCTTTCGTGACTGTAGGAATTCATACTCTTTGTTCTTTCGGTAAAGTCACGTAGATAGAAAAATAATAAAATAAAATGATGACGTTTCGATCGCAACACAAGCAATCGTCTCCATGTGAAAAAAAAGAAAAAAAAATCACGTGCATGATTAGCCGAGGTATGCCTTGCTCTGCGATCTTACATTTACTTTCAAATTCCATCTCTTACCCTTGTGTTGTAACCACCTCAAACATATATAACCTTTGGCTGCAGTAGCTCTCTCGCTACATTTCTTCCTGCCTCAGCAGTCCACCTGCTGTATTTTTACACCTGAAGACGATTTATTGTATTGCGATCGAAACTTCGTGATTTTTATTATTATTTTCTTAGTTTTTTTTCTATCTACGTGACTTTACCGAAAGACCCAAAGAGTAAGAACCGAATAAACGTGGAACTTTGATTCAACTTTGGGCCCAGGTGGGTCCAACGATTCCAGTGTAATTTTAGTAGGAAGAGGTGGACATACACCGCAGCTTACCCCATCACGCGAAGTCCGTCGATCGATGTAACCGCGGTGTACGGTACTGAACCAACTTAACTGCCGGGTCGACAGAGGCGGGTAGATTTAAAAAGCATCGTCTCTATCTACTGCTGCGTGGGGAGATCTCAGCGGTGACCTCGGGATGATTAAAAGCCGCGTTTGTCAACCCACTCCACCACCACCACCACCACGGCGACTGACATCGTTTCACAGCCACGAAGGTCAACTTGTTTGTGCGTATTGCTCTCGAACAGGTGTCTGCAACCTGCGGCTTCGGACACGCATGCCGCTCTTTAAGGACCCCCCACCCCCCGTCTCGTATTCACCACACATTGCATTGCGGCTCTTGAAAGAGGGGGAGGGGGGCGGGGGGTTTGTTTACCGAATTCGAAAAAAATGTCTCTTCTTGTGTTTTTTTAGTTGTCGACCCCTGCTCTAGACATTTCAATGTGGAAAACCGGTAACCAATTCCCTTTACCGTGTTGCCTGCGTTTACTAGTAATGCAACAACAACAGCAGTGTTTTTTTTTAAAACAACCCTCGTTAAATTGATGTGTCCGCAAACATTGCAAATATGATCTCGCCACACGTAAACGCTTTGATCAAAGTGGCTCCAACGCTTTTGCATGCGAACCAGTTTCGTTTCCACTTTGTGCGCGACTGCACGTGCACACCGTGACTCACACCGTGTGCACTCATCAGCATCTGCTTTGCAATGGGCTCATTGCTCCCATCCACCACAGTCACCAGCACAGCCACGATCCACCACCTCACAGTATCGATTACTCGTTTAGGAGCACACTTGCACCTTGTACCTAACCATTTCTAGCGCCTCTTGCTCTCACGTTCTATTTGCACTGTGTTCTTTTTTTTGTATGCACGCGTGTCTCGTTTATGACCGTTGAATGCCTCGTTTGTTAGTTGTGCAAAATGGAGTATTGATGTTGTTTTTTTGCTTTTCTTTTGTTGTTTCTGTGCTCGCGCGCCACGGATCTCCCTTGCAAACTAGCCGAGAAATTGGCGGCACGGGATTGTGAGTGGAACAAAATAAAATAACCACAGCCACCGTCTCCACCGATCTCTACCCCAACACATCTGGTACCACCACATCCTTCACGACAACACCCACCAAAGACAAAGATCCCCCGTATAGCCTTAACAAACGGTTGAGGGCAAGTGCTGTTAGCGAGCACCTGTGAAGGCTGGGGATGGCACACGAAGGGGTGGGTGGATAGCACCACGCCCGGACGCCTTTGTCTTCCCAGTGACGATGTTTACACACCACACCAGGTGCCAATTTGAGGCCTAGTTAACATAGGGGAGACTCAGATAATCATCACTGGTGGCGTTGGCCGTGAGCGGGAATCGAACTCGGGTCGCCGGGTTCGCAGCGCGCTAACTGTTGCACTCCACGCTCCCCCCATCCAGTGCCGGATTATCCTCGTAGCACAAGTAGCTACATATGTAGCACAAGTAGCTACATATGTAGTAGCCACGGGCCCGCACTTTCAAGGGCCCCGCGCTAAACGCTTTCAAGCTATCAATTCCGGTTCAGTGATTCTGCACTTTCTCTATTACTATAGTACTATACCGCCTTCAACTTTTATGAACGACTGGGTGTTTAAGGTTAGCGATTTGTCGTATTATCTGGCTGTATAGCAAATAAAAAATACAATTACTTTACTACGCAAGTATAAAAAATTTGTTTAAATATTTATGTATTTATTTATTATATCATATGCTACAGGCCCCGTACCTAGCTTAATCCGGCCCTGCCCCCATCTTTGTCTCACACCCACCACCACCACCGCCGCATCCACCGCGTCCACTCTCCACCCCTCTAACGTCATCTTCCTCCACCACGACGCACCAGCCCACTTGTGGGTCGTCACCACAACGCGCATGGACACGACGAGACCTGTCGCCTCGCTCGCGTGTTCCCTGAATTGAGCGGGGCTGCTCGTCTGTCAGCGGGTGCGCGCGCATCAAGCCCAGCTGCACTTGATTCTGTCATTGCAAATGTGCATACGGTGGGGAATCCAGATGTCACGGAATGAAGATGACGTTGTATACATGCCTTTGTGCTGCTTAAATTCCAGTGGCGTATCGTGTCAAACACTGTGATTGGATATCACCCCGCCCCCCCCCCCTAACTTGCTATTCAAAGCATTACATGTGAAGGGAAGATGCCCTGAAGGTGGCCCATGCTTTCGGCCAGTGGAGTGATTGAGTCACACTGATTACGTCTGCTATGTTTAGTAAGCGATGGTGCAAGTGGCTCAGCTGCTCTCTGCAAATTAGCTTCCACTTAGAAACGGTTCCAGTTTCAATAATATCGAATTTAGCTTATCGCCCATCAGCATTACTCGAGCAGCCGTGCTATTGGCAACCTTAGGCTCGTTTAGCCAACAATAGCCAACAATAGCATTTCCCTTTCCCTGCCAAAGTCGCTGCACAGTCAGACCGGGCCAGAGATTGGAGTCAGGCTGATGAATGCCTTGAGCAAACTTTTCAAACACGAGACTGGACCCTTTACCGTGATTAATGAATGTATTTTATGTAAAGTCTGTGCGCTGCGATCGATACGTTCGAGTCAATGGCTTGATGCATCTTAGCAGCGCTGCCCAGCCGGGGTTCCGTGCAGCCCACGCGGCTCGCTAAGGGGGGCGGGGGGGGGGGGTCATCGGTGCACCCTGCATGGGAAAATGTGGCCGATGAAGCATCGACTCGCGTCCCGAAACTCGCGCGTGGGGAGCGCGGCACGGCCCAGGACTGCGGCTGCGGCAGCCTCTCTCGCCCCGGGACCTCCGACTCGCGCGGCGCGTCAATTCGAGAGCCATTGAGAAGGAAACGTGCGAATAGGCGAGCTTGGTCGCGGACAAAATGCACGAGTGCAAACGCCATTGTCCGTATTGTTTGGGTCTATCGGTAAAGTCACGGAGATAGGTTCAAAATTAATTAATTAATACAAACACGACGTTTCCATCGCAACACAAGCGATCGTCTTCAGGTGGGAAAACGGTGGAAAAAAGGGGTGAAAGCTCCCAAAGGCAAGCTGTCTTTAAAGTTGTAAGATGGGCGAAGCCCAAGTGTCAACTTGCAGTGCGTCCACAAGGGCCCTGGGGCCAGCACAGGTGGAGATGGTTGTGTTAATGTGGAAAATTAACAACTTCCATGTAGTACGCCCAAGTTCAAGCGGAGATGTTTATGTAGCCCGTGGTATTGGATAAACACGCCGATGCAGGACCCTCCTCGAGAGAAGTATCGAGGCTCAAGTGAGGCTGCCCTGGATAAATCGGAGGTAAACTACGTGCGCACCTGGGCGTGATCTCGACTCCTGCATTTTTATTTTATTTTGTTTTACCGTCGCTCGTACGTGTCCATAAAAAAAAACCACCGCTTGTTCTTTAAACTGACTTTAATTCCAGCCTTAAACGCCGGGGTCAACGCGCTGCGGTAAAGGGTCACGGTGCAATAAGCGCGTAGCACCCGCATGGTCGCACGTGTAACGTAACAAAAGTTGTCGCTTTACGAGCGCCCCCTCCTCCTCCTCCCCCCCGTCGGCGTCGTCGTCGTCGGGAGCGCGCTCGTTTCGCTTCTCGCCGACCGCCGCCGTCCCTCGCGGAGACGCCGCGAGCGCCTGGCGCGTCGTGAGCTCGGTGAGGTGCGCGCCCTCGGCAGCTGTCTTTGTTGAGCGACTGTTTTGATCGTTGAGCAACCACCACCCCCACCCACCCCCCACCCCCCGAGTTGTGCGCGCGCGTGGCGTGTGATTGGCATACCCCGGGAGACCGAGCGACAGCGCGCTCTTGCCTGGAGAAACCGCGAGGTTGACGACGATGATGATGATAGTGATGGCTATGATACCAATGGTGTTAGCTATTGTGCCGGCGGTTGCTGATATAATAATAATAATGTCAGCGATGATGATGATGATAATGATGGTTGTGGTGGTGGTGGTAATGATGATTGATAATGATGATGGCTCGCAACGCCCGTGTGTCTCTGTGAGTTGTCCGCGCCGCAGCAATCGAGCGGTGGGAGACCGCGCCGGGCAAGCGGCTGATTGATGGCGTTTGTTAAGATGCGATACTGACAGGGGAGGAGGTCCTCGCGGTGCCCCGCGCCTCATGGGCAACACCGCTGCCCCCCCCTCCCGCCCCCCACACACCGCCCACCACCCCACCCCCGATCGCACCCCGCCACGAGGGTTAATGAGCGACCGAGACCTTTAAAACGTGGGCGCAACCTCTCTCGCAGCACGTGGTGAATTACCACCCGCAATCGATTTGCTTAAACAAATATCTGCAATGAATCTGCACGCCCGAGGCAAATATGTTGCGAGTTAATAAAGGGGAGATGTATTCGGGTCTTCCGCCAATCCCCCTTATCTCGCTCTGCCCCCGAAAGCCGCGCGCTGTGCTCAAGGCCAGGTGAGGCCTTCTTCACACCTGGCCGAGGACGAGGGTGGGGTGGAGAGGATCAGGGGGGAGGGGGGGCAGGCACCTGCTACGGATGGCTTCATCCGTAGCAGGCGGGCAGGTGGCCTCGTGCTTTAAGTGCTCTCCGCCGTGTACGGCCCAGGCTGCACGACCTGCAGCACCAAACCGATTGCGCCACTTGCTTTCCCCGACGCGCGTGTTTACCGCGTGCGCTACTTCAATCGCTCCTACCTGCAACTAGCTACCTGGCCTGCGTTGCCTGTGCTACCGGCACTATTGCAGTGCGACATCACCCATTCTGCCTGTGAACTCCTGGCACAATTTGCATTGCTGCGCTTACCATGCACTGCCAGCTGCACCGCCTGTAACGGCGGTTCTAACGTTCCCTGCGTTACGTGCACTCCTTGGGCCCATAATAGAGCTTTGTTTAGGTTCGATCGCGTAAATATAAGTGCATCGTTAAATCCGCCACCACCCGACACAGCCATTTAATGAGGTTTGTCACGTAAACGAAAGTTGCCAATTCGTTACTAGTTCAGCACACCGGTGTGTGTTGGAGAGTAACACCCACAGCATTTACGCGGTCCCACCTGTCCACACACACCACGTGCGTCACCTGTGAGGTGTGACGAGGTCAACGTCCGCCTCGATGAGATTGGGCGCCGTGAGACGGCCGGGCGGGCGTCTTTGATGAGGCTGAGCACGTCACCGCTCCCCAGTCGCCACTTTCACATCCTCCCTTGGGCTGAGCTCGCCTTGGCCCGGACCTGCGAGCCGCCGACAGTAGGTGGCACCCGACTGTCTGCCGAGCGGCGAGCTGCGGAGCGCGACTTCGAGACGAGGGACCCGCGCTCTTCGTATCAACATTAAATTTAAAAAAAAACCCCAGCAACAGCAGCGACGACGACGATGATGGCGAGATGTTTGCATAACTGGCAGTGCACTCCGACGAACTTTGAGTATCCGATGGCGCCTGCTGTCTTCGGCAGGGATCTGTGATTCCGATTTTCAGGGTTCATCCCTGATTGCTGTGATGTGTCTGATGAATGTGATGCATATGATTGTTGTGATGTGCCCTATTACTGTGATGTGTCCGATGAAAATTGATGTGTGTGATGGCGGTGGTGTGTCTGATGTGCCTGATGCCTGTGATGCGTCTGATCGCTGTGATGCGTCTGATGATGCGATGTGTCTGAAGCGATGTGCCTGATAAAAGCAATTTATATGTCTGATGGCTGTGATAGTTCTGTGTTGCATCCAATGTTGCCATGGGGGGATTCCGGCACCACAAAACACTGGGATAAAACGGCCGTGTGGCCAACGGGCATGAAATCACTTCTCATTTCATGACGGAAGAATTCCCAATGGGAAAATCCTGGGAATGTGCTCGCTGAAGGACGCCGCTTGACAATGATTCACCTTTTAGAGAAGTGGCCCCATCCGGTGGTCAAATTATTTAAGAGCCTATCAATACACTGTGGCACTTTACCGATAGAGTGCGGTTGGTGTCTGTCTCCGAGTATTAATTGCTGTAAATATTTGAATAGAATTTCAGAAGCTTCAGGGACATCGAGCCACGTTATGGGTTGAGAATTAGGAGCCCGGGTTTTAGGTTGTGATGGAAATTGGAGGCTCTGTCTTAACTTGAGACAAGGTGTTAACGCAATGGAGGTTTCGACTTTAATACAAGTGAGATAGTATTACATTTTACAATCCCAGCCTGATGAGCTCGATTGCTGCATGGATTCCGTGCATGGCATCACCGACCATGCTCCTGCTGCATAGTCCTTCCCATCACAATCCCTGACTTCGTAATACGTGATTCAATCCCATATCACCATAACCGCCAGCCACGTCTCTCGGTGGTATGACTACACTTCAGCCTTGCGCTGATTACTTAACGTGGCCTGGACCCTGTCCTCCAATTGTCATGGAGATAAGTTTGCAAGGTACGTCCCTGAAAGGTGTGAACCACTGGAGTCCTAGGACATGAGACTTGGGACTACCTCTGCGCGAGTCTAGGCATGCGAAGTTACCGTGGGCTGTGGCAAGAGGGTTTCACAGACAGCACAGAGCCTCGTTCTGTGCTGCACGCAAAGCATTAATTTGCACTCCACTACGAACACCAGTAAACGTGTCATTAACGCGTAGAAGCATTGGAGTCTGTTGGACAGCAAGCAATTTCTTTCTTTCACATTTTGTTTGAAAGGATTTTCGGCTACTGACTTCATATAAGCTTCTCTAAATGTCCTTATTCGGAGTTAGCACTTTTCAGTTCAGGGTTTTATGTCAGCTGCGTACTGTGGAGTGAAGGAACGTTGCTCGCTCTAAGCCGAAGGAACGATCAGCCACGCACAATCCGACTGTGCAGCCGCTAGTCTGCAGCGTTCCAGGTACAGGTGGCCGTGCTTTCCCTGCACCCACTGTGGCATGTATCGCACGTGTGTGGGTACAGATGTGTAATTAGAAAATATTTTTTATCAGCTTTTGAAGACGTAATTTCTCGTAAATACTTGATATTTCCAGTTTTTGTTATATATATATTTTTATCTCGACTTAATGCTTTCATGATTGCAGGAATTCATATTTTTTTGGGTCTTTCGGTAAAGTCACGTAGATAGGCTCACTTTGTTTTACAAAACACTACGACGTTTCGATCGCAACACAAGCGGTCGTCATCAGGTGGAGACATTCTTTTAAAATGTTAAAGCTTAAAGTCATTCTTCAATAGAATTTATGGAAATAAAGACCCAAACTGAGTTACAAATGGCGTAAGCAATTTCGGTAAAACCGTTTGTTTTCGTGTCACAAAATGCTCGCCTACACTGGGGCTTGCTACTGCTGCGATGGCACAGAACACTATCTTCTGGAGGACCCCGCGCCGTGTTCTGCAGCGTAATTAATCGCAGCCGCGGGTGGCTGTGATGGAGAGGGCCCTGATAGCCACGCGCTGAGCAGGAATAGTCCCATTAGCCGTTGTCGCTGGTATCCTGCACACGTGTAACATCGTTATAGACCAGTGGACCAAACATTGGAAGCAATCTCTTTGCACCCCACAGAGAATTCTGTGATTACATTTATAATTGTTAACTCTTCCTGTTCCTCTACGTGAAAATATCAGTTGATAGCTTTTTGAAATTCATCCAATAGGTTATCAGTTTGTAGTTTGTTGGAATCATGGAGGTAAACGGTGATTTCTTAGTGACAGCACCCTAATCTGCCGCGAATGTAATTCGCAAGGGATGGGAAGAAAATCGGAGCAAGGAAATGCTATTTCGAGCATTACTGTTTTGCATGTAATAAACTAATCTGGATGTAACCGACTAACGTGACATCGCTTATGCTTTTGTCACGGCCCTCGGAAAACAAAGCAACAAACATGCAGTTAATTCGACAAAAAGCAGTTGTAATTTGATGATGGTACAAATGTATCATTGTTTTTATTCATGCGAGCAGACAAGTAGAAAGTTAATGGAGCTGCGCGTGCGTGCGCGCGCACACCAACGGGGGTTGCGAGGGCGCGCGGCCGTGCGCACGCGAACCCGTGTGGCGGCCGACTTCGCCCTCCGCCGCAGTCACGAGGCGTGGACCCGGGCACACGTGCAGGGAGGGCCACGCCGCGGCTCTGACTCCGTTCGCCCGCTTGCGTCGAGTCGATCGGCATTGCACACGAGTTGCTCTTTGGGTCAAATGTCCTGTGCGATGTTATCAGGCCCGAGTCAATGGGCGAGCGTGGCTGCTTCTCGGCTCGGCGCAGGTTAGAATTACGCTGACGGGCTGACACCGCACGGCGCTCGCCTGTCCCCCCCCTCTCCCCAGCATCACGTGCCGCACGGAGCCCGGCGTGAGCTGCCCTGAACCAGGCGGACCGGATCCCTCCACTCAATCCACCCTCTGCGCTGTCAGCAGCAGCAGCAGCTCTGCGTCACTGCTATATTTGCATTATCGGACCAGCAATCTGCCACAGCAAGACAGAACATGATCCTCAAATGGCTGAAAGCAGGCACAAGCTAAGCTGCTTAGGAACATGTCAACTTCAATATTGCATGACTGTTAGCTGGGAACACGTGCACTTGCTTAAGAACCAATACTGCCGAGGTTTGCTGAACAGTTTGCCTCTTTGTTTCAGCAAATAAGTGGTCATATTGCACGTCAATTCGTATATGTGCAGCTTACATTTGTACTAAGTTCACAAGATCCCGGTTGATTGGAATTACAGCCGTCAAACAACAAGTAAATTAAAAGGCTGATCTCCGCAGCTTCCCACTGTCCTGTAACATACGAACGGGGCATCAATGTGCAGTTGTTCTTTTACTTCAATAGACTTTGTCATTGTCTCCTTAAATAGCCGGCGCATCGTGTTCAAAAATTACAACCGTCACGATCACGCTTTAAAGTTGGATTTCAATACCAAAAGCTTTCACGTCCTGCAAGACCACGGACCCAAGAAAGGGAGACCAGCACCGGTGTCGACTGACTACACGTGGCGAGTACACGCGTCTAAAGTGAACGGGATTACAACGCCAATTTTAAATCAGTTGCGCATTTTATATCAAATACAGCGATTACCTTTTTTTTTCATCGATAACAAAGTGACTTCTAGAATATACAGTAGAAGAAATGCACTGCGTTTAGCCACGAACAGCACGGGTTGAATAACAATGCACGTTTACAGTTGGCAATCAGGTTAACGGCACCACCTTGCAGGTATAACGAGCTAATGGCTTCCTAGACACCACACAACACTGATTCACGTCCCACGGCTGCATTGTATTGTACTTCAGTTGCAATATACAGCGGAATTTTTTTTGGTAATTAAGCACTTTCAACATCGAATAAATGCGAAAAAGAAAAATCAAAACATCTTTTGTTTATAAAATGTACACGAGTATTTTATCTGTTATATTACATTACACAAATGTCCCTTTATTTAAATCCGTACAATAGTTATATTATTTGACATGGAAGATTGACACAAGAGGTTTTAAATAAATCTACCTGTACTCGACATAATAATTTTACAGCAGCTATATCATATAAACTTCACATTCATGACGGAAACACTAGCCTACCCTGTTTCTAAGTGACTTGCACAGTACACCACAGTCAAAGCTACACTCAAAACGGGAGACAGACGATGGGGGTCACACATTTGCAGGAGTTTTTGTTGTTGTTCTTGTTTTCGAGCCAACACCACAGCACACAGCCGAGCCGATCCCTTCCAAAAAAAGGCACCAATCATTTTCCATTTGGCGTGCCACGCGGCCGTTTTGACCATCGTAATTGCACGGGGGGACATCACCCATTGGCCAAACACGTGGCATAAACCCGATCCAAAATGTACCACTAAATTTAAAGACTAAAATTACCCGTGTTGTGCGTTCTCGTTCTGAATGTTACGACTTTGCTTCAATTCTCCAATTATTGCTTGCATCGTCATTGGTAGCAGTGCCATCGTCAGTCAGGACATGGACATCTGCGTACGCGGAGGATCTTTCAAAGTCTTGTCCGCACGTGCTCAGTTGCTATGTTTTCGGTGTGTCGTGGTGCAGTGTGCTGCTGGACACTGGCTGTTGGCGAGCGCAAAGCTGTGTGTTATGGTGCTGTTGTCTGCTGGTGTGCAGTTGCTGTTTCAGTGCAAGGCTGTGTGTTATGGTGCTGGCCGAGGCTGTAACAGCTAGCTCAAGATCATAGCTGCCGTGACGCCTCACTCTGCACTCAAAACCGCTAACAGATGCACTAACACTGCCATTATTAATAATTAGACCTGATTTGTGCATTTATTTTACAATATTATCTACAAGTAGTCCTACATGTAATTAAAATGACACGGTTGGAATATGAAGGAATTAATCCTGAGATTGAAACTCAAAGTTTACAGAATTTACATAAATTAATCACTTGTGTTAAATAAGCAAAGCAGTACACATTTTAAGTGAACACAAAAAAAGCAGCACCGATATTACAAATTGCATAACGTCTGCACACGGGAACATAACAACAACAATGTGGAAGACTTGATGACTACCTATCGGAACTTATGATGTATTTAGATATAAGAATTATTCATCTTTTTTTTATTAAATAGGTATCCTTGATTTAAATAACACTGCTACGCCTCAGTCGGTGAGTGAGGGTAGCTCCTATTGGATCCGCAGTCTCCGAGTTTGCCGCTGTCCACGCGTACCAGCGCCTGCCACCCCGGCAGGAGGTCAAGAAACCACAGGCGGGTTGGGCAGTGTTGCTCTCTTCTGTGCTTCATTTACAAACGTGGAAGCTCCACTCCTCCGCGCAGCCGCCCCCACGAGCAGGACATCCTCGACAACACGCACGCGGGCGAGGCGCCGCCGCGCTGGCGGGCGTAACGACGGGCCTCCCGCGCAAAGGGTCCCAGCGGAGCCTCCGTCCTTTACAAGAGCGTCCATCAACATCGTCAAGTGCAAGGAATTTCCGTAGTTGAAAGGGAGCGAACGGCCGCGCGTTACCCCCCCTCCCCCTCCCCCCAATTGTTGTCCGTCCGTCCGTACAACGGCCGACCCCGAAAGGGCGCTCCTCCTTTTTTTTTACTTTTTTTTCTAAGCGCCGCTCAAGGTCCGGTCAGACCTTGGCCTCCAGCATCTCGAGGAAAAGTTTGTGCATGGGCACCTTGCCCTCCAGTTTGACAGAGTAGAAGTGCTGCACGGCGCGCGTCGCCGTCTGCCGGAGCAGCGGCAGCGTCATGAGCAGTTTGCCGACGCGCCGGGCGTCCTCGCCGTGCATGCTGCCCTCAAAGTCCTGCAGCGCCTCGTGCAGAACGTCCTGAAGCTTTTGCACCGCCTCTCCGTCCTCGATGTGCATCGAGTCTGTGGGACAGCCACGGCACGAGCACGACACACACCGGTTAGCAACGCAGCCTATGTTCACACTAAATGTGCAGCACCGCGTCGAACACTTTCGGATAATGCCTTGCAGATCACGACCTGGTACCAGTATTTGGGTGCAGTGGTGGTGGGGAGATGTTATCTACCTCGCGTAGTATGCAGGGGATCGTGGGTTCGACTCCGACCCTGACACACGTGTATTCAAAGTGTGCGTGATCTTCCCGTGGTCGCGTGGATTATTCTCTGGGTCCTCTGGTTTTACCCTCCACATTTTCAACACGCGTTTATATTATTTGTCTGCTACTATAAATTCCCACATGATCATAAGGCACTTACATGCGCTATCATGTGTGGCCAGGTTGCCTCTGAAAAAAATCTCATAGCTCAGTGGTATTTACCTGCTAAATAACATAAAAAAAATACTGAAATTTTAGCCGGTTCTGTCTGGGTCAGTGAACTGGAAAATATTTTGGCACATCACATCCAGTATACTTCTATGTGCTGTGGCTGCTAGTCATGAGCCTGCTATAGTTTTCCAGTGACCCATAAAATATTCAATGCGAAATTAAGCCCTGTCTGATACCATATTCAAAAGTATTTTGGTGACCAGAAGATACGTCACATATGATCGATGTGTTACTTGTTTTCTGTTACTGTGTAATTGTTTATACCGTGCTGTGTATATAGTTGAAAATTAATGATGATAAAACATGTATTGTAAAAATGTCAGAGGTGCCACCATGATCGTGGTTGTCTCCAGTGCCTCAGTAGATGGCAGGAGCTAATGCAGGTGAGCCATTCAATTTCATATCCAAACCAACTCGTTACTATACTTAAACCTGGACGTACAATTTGCACCTACGTTTGCCATACACAAGAATAAGCTGCTTTACTTACACACCTTTTTTTCACAAGTCTCTCTTATAAAGGCGACCAGTTGCCGCCATGCGCACTCACCTGCTTTGAGCAATCTACTTATTTTCACATCAACTGTTCATCCCGACTCATCTGGTTGTCTCTCAACCGAGCTTGTGCGATGAAAACTTTGGAATAGAGTTTGTTAAGTTCTGACAGTCTTAGTACCCCCCCTCTCCCTACACCTCCCATGCTAATTGCTGTACCATTATACCAAGTGACCAATTTTAAACGAGACGCAACAACAACCGAGGTGGCTCACGTCACAACAGGGCTCACACGAGGACGGTGCGTGGCACGCCAAACAGCGCGCGCCACCACTTGCCAATGCCGTCGGTGCACGTGCGTGCCCAGTATGAATGTTGGCGTGCATCGCGATTCCGGGCGTTAGTATGCAGCTCGCAGGAACACGAGCAGGCTGTGGCTAATGTTGCATGAGTATGCGGCAGACAGGCACAATTACGCTGCAAGATAATTGCACAATGGAAATAAAAATTTGCTGCACCCAACTAATTTTACATGCGACTGCATCATTGCGGGCAGCATCTACTTGCGACGAATGAAGTTGGAAAGGACATGCCTATTGTCTGAACCATCCACCGTACAATAGTGACAACTCGTAGATGCATTACCCTCTCCTTGCTGCTAACACGGATTCACACACACGCACACATATACATACACACACAAGAGTATGCAGCGTACAGTGTTTTCACCCGCACACAGAACACACGCACACTATATGAGTCACAACCGCCCTCTTCAACCCTAATGTAGTTCTCAATTTTTGTAACGTGTCTTGAGATGCGGTTATAATTAAAGTCAATATGAATTACAATTATCATCGTCAATTGTTTTTGTTGTGGTGTGTACATCGAGGTAGGTACAGAGTACCTTGTACACGACAGCTCGTGTGCTCGATTGTGTTGGACCGGGATTTTAAAAGACAAATCGCTCAATAAGGGAAAGCGCACGTGCCCTGTACTTTAGGCACATCACAAGTGTAATCTCAAGACGTTTAGTCGTCTAGCTTAGCCAGGCTTAAATGTTATTGTTTTTAAAGGGCTGATAAAAAGGCAGATCAGTTGAGATTCTCGAACACATAACTTGCAACATCAGAGCTACTTGAGAAGACAAATGAGCACGGTGTTACTTTGGTGAAACAATTTCCTTCCCATCAGTCAACAGGCCCTACGTCGATGGAAGGGCTGAACCCGTTAATTACAAAATCAATTAAAAATAATTTCGAAAGGAGTCACGTTTTAGTTCTCGGGGGCACGATTAGACAAAAGCCTCGTCTGTGGCTTACCGCAGCCTCTAATGCCTCCGCTGAAACTGAGCAAAGCCAATCTGCTTTTTCATTTTTCAGTTTGACCGATTCGCAGCCACCATTGATCAACGCGCTGCTCCCAAAACAAACTGTCAATACCTTGAAGAGCGAACAATGCGAACAAATGACTGCCCTCCCATACGGCCACTCATTACATTTCATTTAACACATTTTATTGACATTTTCCCCCGTTGTAATTAACGAGAAAAGCCAGCTGGCCTCAGACCAAGACGCTGGCCTGTGCGCGTGTGTAGCGAGCGTTTTCAGAGGCACGGGGCGAGCGCGGGCGGCGCTGAAGGCAGGCTGCGGCACACTTTGCGCACGACCTTGACTTTTTCATCAATGGACTGACGTCCATGTCAGCATCTGGCACTGCTCAATACAAATATTTATCAAAAAAGAATAAAACATTTGCTTTGGATAAATTGCTGCGCTGGAGCATGGCTCTTAAAAACCGATTGAGTGCGCGCGTTCACATTGTGGGAGCGCGGCTTGCACATTATATTCTACTGCGCAAAAAGGAAACACTTCTCAAAGTTGTTCACGAATTACACGACGACCTACATTCTTTCATTAAATGCTGCAGTTATACGCCCATTAAAAACTGACAAATAATTTTAGGGGAAAATGTGAGCTTTGTTTCTGTTTGCGTTAGCTCATTCGTGCAACAGAGCAGTATGGTATCGTGAAGGATTATGAAAGCAGTGTTCTTCTTCTTCTCCTCCTCCAAATACTTGTGGTCCTGTGCGCTACTACGGATTGTATCATCATCAGTCGCGGTCTATCCACTGCTGAATGAAAACCTCCCCACACCATCGCCTTGCAATGTCACAATCCATCATCTCACTCTTGCACACTAAATTATCTCGTCGCTCCATCTCCACGGTGGGGCGTCATCGCCAGAAATATGGATTCATTGCGTAAATTCAAACATTTACAGAATCTTGTACCACAACCAAAGACTTTTATAAATGAGTGTAATGTTGCATATTTTTATATTTTTTTACACGAGGCGATGCGTTTGACGCAGCACCGTGCTGAGGTGGGCTCCGTGCCGGCCGTACCAGAGTTAGCCAGGGCGATGGCCTTCAGCGCCACAAACTCCTCCTTGTCGAGCTTCAGGGCCTTGTACTTGCGCACGAGCTGCAGGATGGCGGAGTTGAGGTCGAGCAGACCGGCCACCTTGGACAGCTCCTCGTCCATCACGTAGTCCTCGGCCCACACGAGCTCGTCTTCGTAGGGCAGCGAGCGGAACACGACGCCCAGCAGCAGGATCTCCATCCACGCGCTCTGCAGCAGCGACATCTGGTCGCCCAGCGACAGCGTGGAGAAGCCTGGCACGCATGGCGGGCACACGCACAGGCACGTACACACGTACACACACACACATACATGCACACACGCGCACACACGTACACCCATACAACGCTTTGAGATCCACGTTTTTTGGTTGAGTGCTCAATAACGGTGTGTACCATGGTGCCCCTGCCGATGTATTTACGGAGTGATAACTGCCTTCCCGTACGACGGAGTTTTGTCTTGCTCAGTGCAAATTAAATAACCCACTCTCGGTCTCGTCAGTACCATTAAAAATTATAACATAAATGTGCAAAAGGGATGAGGATAATAAGTTAAGTTCCCTTTTTTCATTTGTGGAGTTGCAGCAAATTGCTATCTGACTATCTGTCTTTCTAATTTAAAACTTTATATTAATACATCTTTTGTTTGACTTATTAAATTAGAGCACTGCAACATTTTAATGAGACGAGTCTGCGAATCACACCGAGATTTCACAGTTAATATGACACCTTTGCCATTTGAAACTTTTTTTTTTCGAAATAGTTTTTAATGAAACAAATCCATACAAATTTTCTATTAACAAGCAATGAGAATGATACTGTTTCATCACCGGCAGATACCACTAGCCTTGCGAACCTCACCGAAGCGGGCACTTTCTTGACATTTATTTTCCCGACAGCAATCGCGTTTTGCGAGGATCGTTTCGAGCATTAAACTACTGGCACCGGTGTCAACGGGCACGGCTCAGCGGCAATGCCGTGCGCGTACTCAACGGGTGTAGGATAACAGTGGCCGGTGCGCGTTTAAACCTGTCACTGCATCGGGGCCTCGTGGGGCATGCGGCGGGCAGGGCTTGCGTGCGCCGTGCAGCGAGTCCCGGCCCCCGAGGCCCCCCGGCATCCGAGAGGAATGCTCAGCACACTCAAAACTGCCAGCGGCAAACGATTGGATTTATACGCTTTCAGTTGGTCAGAATCTTCGGGCCAATAATTAAAACCGGGATGATTGGTCTATTGAGCGCTGGCAGAACTTTTTATCTACGGGATATTGGTGATGTTATCAGCCTGACACTTTTACTGTTGTCAGCCCCATCCCAGTGTCCAATTTTTCTTATCTCGCTGATTAACACAAGGGCTGCTTCCCACTGCATTAATTAACAGATACAAATCTACATTCACATGAAGAGATCAATACGGGGGGGAAGAATAGGCCTTCAGAGTGAATTTACTTTGGATGATGGAGAGGACGCCCCCGTCAATGTTTACGTGTGCAGAACGGCAAAAGGCTGCCGGTGGCCAACATCGCCGTGGCGGTGCCGGAGCGCCCCCCCCCCCCCACGCGCCACATTTGGGGGGGGGGGGCACGGCGGCAGCCGTGAGTGACGGGCCGAGCGCTGAATGGGAGCGCGAGAAAGAAGGATGCCTGGTGCCGCTGGAGGTTACCGTGATAATGGGTCCCTCTATTTCTGGTCACTTGAAAAGATGCTATCTGTGGAGGTCTTGGGGCCTCCTGATTGTGGTTTTGGAAGAAGAAGAAAAAAACCTCACAATAAACATCTGATTGAAAAGATCATTTTGTTTCAGTGAATGGAATGTAAATAGCTTGAGGCTGAACGGTAAGCAATTTAAATTAGCAGCGTATAAAGGAAACAGTGCTTATTCCACACAAACTGCACAAAGCATTGGTTGGCTTTAGAACGACTCTGCTGATGCCCCCATATCAGCGGTGGTGGTGGGTCCTGCAGCAAAGGTAGGCTTTACTCCATGGCAAGTTGCCTGGGCTGTGCCGCTTCATTTCCTGCATCACGGAAACTACTGATCATAATCCCCTAATACCTAGCAGATGGATGATACAACTTGCCAAATTTGTCAACATCATAGGACTTCCAGCCAAGATTGGCAACATTTAACGCCAGATAATTCTCAGCCACAAGAAGTGTTACATTTCATTATTATCAATTGCGGAAACGCAAACAGTGGATGCAAAAAAAATATCTTTACAGCGTCGCATGAACTACATTATTATGTGAATCTTTTATTCAGTTTTATCCTAAATCTCACTAATACCATTAAAACCCTGCTTCACATTTTACCCATTCAATTGGTCAAGAATAAAGGATTCACGTGTAATACTTGAGACTCAGATGGATGTCGGGACAATTACACGAGAGTCTTGTGTAAGGCTGAGTCCCCAAAAAAAGACAAGTTTGATCGCTGTGTTAGCCGCTACATGAATACTACAAATCCTAGTGGATAAGCCTTCCAGTTTAAATCCCAGTCTCTTGTGCTAACCACAGCTGACCTTTAATCCAGACAGGTGTGGGGGCTGATTAGCGTGGCTCAGGTCTGCTCTCGGAACAATGTAATCCACATTCGGAGCCCTCAGCTCTTCTCTCGGGGCAGCCTCAGTCACATGGCTTCAATGAGCCTAATTAAGCATGCCGTAATTCCAGACCATTGCATAAATTAGACTATTCTGAGCCGAGATTAATTCTAAATATACTGGAGCAGCTGTTCAGGATGCTTGGATCGTTCGCCTGTTTGCCTAATTAGAGGCCAGAATTGCTGGGAGAAACAGAGTTTGGGTTTTGGCGGCGATCGCTACGCTGGCACTAATTTTGAAGCACCGCGAATCGCAGCTTGTGAGCGTTCAGGGAGGGCGGTAAGTGGCACACGGGGAAGCGACTTTTATGTGCCCAAATATCAACATTTACATTTTAATCAGCCAATCCCGAGCGCTGCCGCAAGAATCCTGGGCTGCGCAGAGGGCAGCGGGGAGTGGCGCAAGGCGCAGTGGGGCACTTGGACCTTCGCTCAGAGCAGGGGAACAGGACGAGGGCAGCAGAGTGGCACGGTGCCCATGGGGCACCTGGTCCGCCACTCGGCCCCGCCAGTGGCATGCGCTATCCCGCCATTGGCCATCATCGGCGGGACGGCGCATGCCACTGGCAGCCTTAGCGGCAGCCTGCAGGGACCCACGTGAGCCATTTTCCTCTCCAAGTGTCGTCCACGAGGAAGGGCTGCGTGTTGCAAACGGTGCCACACAGCACGTCCACAGGAGGCAATTAACTCGTGTTTTGAAGACAAAATAGAACACGGTCCCACAGAGACAATAAATGTCTTGTTGTACCAAAATAAGGGCGATAATCACACTATCCTGCGCTCTCCATCAACATGGAATCATAATTACAGCACCAGTAAATCAACCAATTTTAATATTGATTTCCTTGTTAGACACAATAAATGCATCTCACTAATTGACTCAATAGCCAATTGTGGCAACATGAGCAGGCAAATGCTACAGAAATCAGTAGCCAAGTGCCTAATCTGCTTCAGGTCAGAATAATACAATTATTCACACTTTTTCATTCCAGGACTTGTGAGGGGAGACCCATGCCTGTTTAAACTGAACCATGCAAACATCTGCAATAAAGCCCAACGCATTTATAAACACACACACAATAAGAAATCCTCAAAACTACTCGACGATATTTCTTCAACAAATATTACCCACTTAGCGTGCCGTGTTTTTGCTAAATATGTTTGTCGAACACGGAAAGCGCTTGGATAATAATGGTCCTCTGTTGCGCGGCGACGCGCGCTGGGACATTCCGAGCCGCCTTCGTGATTTTGGGCTGCACACGCAGTAAAGCAGAGCCGCGGAGGGGCTCAGAGTGTGTAGGCTCCTCCCTCCCCCCCCCCAATAATTCCCTTAATTCTCCGAATCTACGGCTCATAATCTCCTAATTAATTATTCTTTTGCGCCGCTTCAGGATCATTACGCAATGCAATAAAGGACATGTAATTATGAAATTTTACAGCCATTACAGATGGCGACGGCTCATATTTCACAGTAAATATTAGGCGGTGTGTGGGCACGGGACCTCAGCGGACAGCGTGCTGGCTTCAGATGGATGAATTGTGCCCAGAAGTAATCAGCACCCGGGGCCCATAATGGCCGTGGCCAGATGAAGCGGCGGATAAAGACAAACTGCGCCATCAGTGCACGCCCGGTGGTACCATAAGGCAGGCTCATCTGGCTGGATAAACATGGCTGATTGAGGCTGGGCTGGGCACTGTGGGCGATCAGCGGGGGCGAGCCGAGGGGGGGGGGGAGGGCGGGAGGGCAGCACGCGATGGGCGAGCAGTGCCGGACGCCCGCCGCGGAGAGCGGGGGCTGCAGGAGAGGTCCTGTCCACTTCATTATCGTTGCCGCACAATACAGTTTCATTAAGGAGCAGAGGGGCCGCAGATGGGGAAGGGGGTCGCGCGTCTCCCGGGATGTGCCCTGCCCTGCTCCACTCTCCCTGAGCATCACTCAGCAGGGATGCTTTCAACTGCACACAAACACCCCCCGGGACTGCTGCAGCCACCGTCGCTAACTCGCAAATTGCGCTGGCCTGGCCACACCGACGAAATTTGTGTTTTGTAAAAAAAAAAAATTCAAGTCACTCTGCAAAGTACATGGCTGGATAATGCGGCTGTTGTAAGGTGTTCCTCTAATTTAAAGCCACAACTCGATTTACTGTCATTTTTAAGAGGAAAGGGAATTGGGGTTGGGTGAATTTGAGGCGGGGGAACAAAGCGGAATACATTAGCTCCTCTTGTCCCACGGTACCCGTAAACATCTACTGATGGAATTTAAGAAGAAATCCCCTGGTGGAATGAATTGGATTAAATTTCCGAGTCCAAAAAGCCTCCTTAAATGGAAGAGGAGTCCAGACATGTGAGAGAGGAAATCCAGCTGCATCACGGAGTGAATTATTTAGAACCTCGCGGCCCAGCAACGCCAGCCCAACGCCCTCTCCACCAGCCGCCAGAGGCTCGGTTTATGCTACGGAGTTTAGGGCAGCGATAATAATAATAATAATGCGGAGAGCGCACCAACATGTGTCTGGGAGAAAGCGAACAAGAAAACATATTATGCGAAAGCAATCTTTTCCATACGGAGATGGTGGATGCGACGCCACCGTGAGATTTGGTGGACCGCAGGCGCTCGGCGGATGCGAGCACGCTGCGCGCGTGCAGGAGGCTAA